TGCATGTCACGAGAAGAAGAAATTACCAAGGAAAAGAAAGAGTCAGCGCTGAGCATTGACCATGCTGGAGGTCTCAAAGTCACCAAGAAGGCTCAGGACTTGCAATGTGATGTTTCGGGCGAGCTTAGACTACGTGCGGCATTTACACGCCGATCTTTGGCCATGCATCAGACCAATTTGGTGACCTTTGATTTGATTGAAGAGTGGAATCAACAGATGTTTGCTGCGTTGTTGCGGCCGCCTCCAGCTGGACACAAGTATGTCACGACACAGCAGATCTTGAGTGCTGACAAGCAACTGTGGATGCACATCTCACAGCAAACCCGTGGCAAGTTGATTTCTGGCATAGGTGAGAAACCACCTTTGGATGAGCAATTGAAAAATTACATGAGGTCTCCTGAAGTTCTTTGCTTCATGACTCCATTGCCATCAGTGCGCGCTGAAGCGCCTTCAGGACATCGTTCCGAGCCATACAGTCGAGCGGAACAGAGCAGTGGATCCGGCAAAGGCAAAGGGAAGAACAAATTTCAGTCGAAAGGTGCTGCGTCAGGTCCCAGCTCTGGGCCCACTATCAAAGAGATGCTCACCAACATGCCAGACGGCTGCGCCAGCAAGCTGCCGAACGGTCAATGGCTGTGTGTTTTCTACAACAGAGGGATTTGCAAACATCAGAAGAAAGCACGTTGTCATTTGGGGCTTCACCAATGTTACTACAAGGGTTGCACAGAGAAGCGACCTTACATTGAGTGTAAGCACTGACTTGTTGAGCCGAAACAAGACAATACAATTTCTCACCCTCATGCAGACAAACCAATAGTCTTTTTGGAAATCTGTGCGGGCTCAGCTGCGCTCTCTGCATCAATGCAACGCATGGGCTGGCAAGTTTTTCCGATTGACTATCATGCAAATCGTTTCAAAAACAAGATGCACATTTTTGAGTTGGATTTGTCATTGCATGAGAATATTTCACTCCTTGAAGGCATGATCGAACAGATGAAGCCGGTAGGAGCCCATTTTGGGCTTATGTGTGGAACTTGCAGCCGAGCACGAGAAGTGCCGGTTGCACATGCATTACGCTCTCAAGGAGCACCTCAACCTGCGCCACTCCGTGACGCGTTGCATCCACTTGGCCTGCCAAATTTGAGCACTCTGAACCAGCAGAGAGTTGACGCTGCAAATACTGTTTATAGACATGCTGTGCGCTTGTTGCATGCACTTTTTCGTGTTGGAGCATTCATTACACTGGAAAATCCTTTACGATCGTGGTTATGGACAGTACTTGCAACACTGGTCAAGCAATATGCACGCGAACACAAGTGCCCTGAATTTGCTGAGTGGTATTTTTGTTTTCACCCCGTGGAATTTGATTTTTGCATGCACGGAGGAAACCGTGCCAAGTCAACCAAGTTGCTGGTGTCGACCCGACAGTTTGAGCCACTGGGGATTATGTGCGACAAGTCCCACAACCATGAGCCATGGACAATTGTCAGTGGATTTGATAAGTGGATTTTTTCTACTGCAGCGGAAGCTCAATATCCTTCAATGTTCTGTGATCGATATGCTGAATGTGCAAGTACAATGGTCGCTGCTAATGCACTGGAGTATAACTCAAAATTTTTTCGACTGCAATCTTTAATGGCCCAATCCATTCAAGCCAAAGGTCATGACCAATTGATCCCTGAATTTTCCCAAATTATTGTCACTACGGTACTCCCTCAACTGCCACACAAAATTTTGGCTCGCTTGGGACACGGGGGAGACGACAGCGAGAGGTCAGCTGAAAGCTACAAGGTTGGCATTTATTTCAACCATCATGATCACCTCAAGCGTTCTTTAGAATTGCAGCACCCTGCATTTACGCACAAGGGTGTACCAGATGATTTGAAGAAAGCTATTTTCTTTGTGGCAACACACTCGATGGCAGATGTTGCCCTGTTCCGCATCAGCAAGCTGGGAGAATGTGTTGAAATTGCAAAGCGACTGGCTCTTGCGGAGAAACTGGCGAAAGTCAAAATGGACAAGAACGTGGCGGAGGTGACCAAGGCAAAACGCATTGAACTTTGGGAAAAACTGCTGACCCAGGTTGGGTTCGAAGACATGGAGGTTGTGCGCTATATGCGCGAAGGAGTTCCCCTGACTGGCTGGGAAGACGAAAGCGCTTTGTACAAACAACGATGGGCTCCACCTACAATGACAAGCGAACAGTTGGACCACAGTGCTTTGTGGCGACGAAAAGCCCTTATGGGCAAAGCCTTTACTGACGAAGAACGTGGGCTTGCAAAACTGCTTATGGAAGAAACTATGAAAGAGGTATCTGCTGGTTTTCTGGATGGTCCCTTTTTGGAGTCTGATATAACAGAAAGGCTTGGGCGTGCGGACTGGTCAATGTCCCAACGGTTCCTTCTTTTGCAAGGTGAAGACCTTAAACCTAGAGTGATTGACAACGACAAAACGTCGGGAGTGAATGCGGCCTTTGGAACATCGTCGCACCTTGACCTGCACGACACCGACGTAATCAGTTGCTTTCTTGCGTTTGCTTTGGGTGTTTTCTGCGGAGATCCACATATCGACATCGAACTTTCTTCAGGTGACCACCTCACTGGTCGAAGGCACCCTGACTACGACCGAAAGCCTTTGCTGCTGGGCAGGGGCATCGACTTGAGCAAGGCGTACAAGCAGGTCAGTGTTGCTCCTCAGTCTGCTAGACATAGCGTTTTGGGAGTGCGAAGTGAATCTGGCGAATGGAAGTTCTTTATATCGAAGTCACTGCCTTTTGGAGCCACGTCCAGCGTTTTTGCATTCAACAAGATCACGCGCGGTATCTGGACTTTGATGGTTCGAAAATTTCACCTCCTTACCACTGTATTTTATGATGATTTTCCTGTTATTGAGTTTGAACCTTTGGCGGCAACAACTACGAACGTGGTGCAGCACCTTTTGGATTTGCTTGGGTGGAAGCATGCTACGACTGGTAAAAAGAGTGTTGATTTTTCTGACACCATGCAGGTGTTGGGAGTAGCATTCCACTTGCAGAACTTTTGGAACAAACAAGTGACAGTGGCGAACCGCCCAAGTCGGATACAGAGGATTTTGGAGATGCTTGAATCATACGCTGCCAAGGGTACTGTGTCTGCACCCGAGGCGGCGACTATGCATGGATTGCTGAATTATGCTGGTGGCTTTGTGGTTGGACGTTGTTTGAAGCCTGCCGCCAGACAGTTTGCAAGTTTGCAGTCAGGTTCATCAGATACAGAGCTCATATCGCGCTTGTGCAATGATACATGCAGGATCATTAACCGAATGCGACCACGAGAAATTCGCTTCCTGAGCAGCGATCGTCCGGCAGTGATTTACACGGACGGTGCGTACGAGAATGGGAATGGAACCTGGGGTGCAGTTGTCATAATCCCTCAACTTGGCATTAATGCAATTCACTGGGGAACCATCCCACCAGTCCTGATGGAGCACTGGACATCTATTGGACTTCAGCAGAAAATTTGTCAAATTGAGTTGGTTGCAGTTTTGCTTGTGAGGTATTTTTACCGCAATGAACTTTCCAATTCTTCAGCACTGTACTTCGTTGACAACGAGGCTGCACGTTTTTGCTTGATCAAAGGATCCAGCCCTTCACTGTCCATGTACAACATCTGTCGTGCAGTGTCCTTAGTAGAAGCAGAATTTCCTTCCGCTTCATGGTATGAAAGGGTGGCTTCGGAGTCAAACATTGCTGACCTGCCGTCACGCTCCAAACTGAAAGAATGCCAGGCAATCTCGGGAGGAAACCTTGCAGGCGATATATGCTTGCCTGAAACAATGCTCTTGGAAGTTACAAGAAAGTGAAGCTCTTTACATGTCGAAAAAAAAACGGGGGTGACAGGCGACATGACTTGTTGACCTGAAACAGTTACCAGACACTTGACTTGTGTTTGTGCGGTTTCACCCCCGACTCAATTAAGATAAGCAAAGACAAAAAGAAATATTAAATACATGTCCGACCTTCGAGCGATTTGCGTGGCGTTTTGAGTTTTACGTTTGTTTGAATAAGAAATTTAATTTACAAAGGGACGAGCACAAACGTTTGGCTTCAACTTGTTGTGGCCTTTGTTTGTTGGGAGTAGTGAGCTTGCGAACGTACCGCCTGTAACAAAAAAAAGAAAAATCTGATGAACTGAAAACCAACTGACGGTGTTGGTGAGCCTGGCGGTGTTTTCAGCTCAGCTTTCAGAGTCAAGCAAATATAGCTGATCCTCCTGTGAAGAGTTGAAGATGTTAAACATGTTCAAATTGTTCAAGCTATTTTAAGATGTGTGGAAGTGCGGTGAAATCTGCTGAAACTTCCGTAGTTGGACGCCTTTCCATTCCGCACTTGTGCGGCGGCAGATGCTCCTGGCTGAATGCTGGAAACCAACTGAAGTTTCCAAACAACTTCTGTTTATTATCATGTTGTGACATTTACATCTGTCACTGTTGTTTGAAGGATGATCTTTACTTCTCACTTTTTATTTAGATCAGATTGATGTCAGTCTTCTCACCTTTTGCTCTGTTGCGAACATTTTGATTTTATGTTCCGCGCAATTTTGGCTAGGGTGTGGAGGGTGGGTTGCACTTGACCCGTTCGATTTTTCTATCCCCTCCCAAACTTCGTTTTCCCTCCCTTATCTTGTGGGGGGGTGACAGGCGACATGACTTGTTGACCTGAAACAGTTACCAGACACTTGACTTGTGTTTGTGCGGTTTCACCCCCGACTCAATTAAGATAAGCAAAGACAAAAAGAAATATTAAATACATGTCCGACCTTCGAGCGATTTGCGTGGCGTTTTGAGTTTTACGTTTGTTTGAATAAGAAATTTAATTTACAAAGGGACGAGCACAAACTTCACAGTACGTTGGCTCTGAAGTGAATGACAGGTTGGAACAAGAAACAGTGACACGTAAAGGTATCAAACTTTTCACACTTGCCGGAATGAACAATCATGATGCAAAGGCTTTGATGAGAGTTATGTTAATCAGCGCCTTGAGCCTTACTCCTGCCACCGCTTCTCCAGCAGAACCAATGGTGGTGGATGGAAGCTATTTTGGCTTCTTCTTTGCGGTGATCGTCACCATTTTGTGCATCACACTGGGATACATAGCTTTGCTCAGGAAAGAACTTCGAGAGCTGCGCGGAGAGAAGACTCAGTTTGAGTGGAATGGCACTTTGACAAAGGTGCTGAAACTTCTGAAAAGAGCGAAAACTGAGAGCAAGCAAAAGGAGGCCATCAAGACCAATGTTGAAGGTGCCGAAGAAGAAAAGGGAACAGACGATGAAAGCGTTGGAGAGACGCCACAAGAACGCTTTGAAAGATACAGCCAAAGCACCTTGGACGAAGTGTCCGACCCAGGACTTTGGCAGCTTTGGCACCATGGAACTCCTAGCGCAACCGATGAGCCTTCTGCCCATCGACAATATGCAGATGGACACATCGAGCAGATGATGAAGGACACCAATGACATCTTGCGCAGACGTCTTCGAAGGTTAGAGACTGAGTATGACGCAGCATCAGATGCTAACGACATCAATCTGATGCACCAGCTGAATTCCCAGATCGATGAGTGCAATGGCCTTATGTATAACATAGGTTAGTTAAGCAACTCTTGGATGAGATGTGATGCTGCAGCATTGGTGAGCAGATCTCGCAATCAATGCACGAGTTCTTACCTGAGACGAAAGCCTTTGGACGACTTGCAACTGAGCCCAATTGCCTTGAGACACTAGCCGAGTGTCTACAGTTTGCAGTTTAGATGTAGCAACCTTTAGTCAAAGACTTAGGTTGAGGCGGGGTGAATGGATTTGACCTGATCCACATCCCATATATATCAGTGTAAACAGTTGCATGCATTGGCATTTCACTTGAACTTGTGACTTCAACACGTTGTCATTTGCAGTTGCCATGACATGCATGTACAAGTGAATCATACATATATCCACAGGCGTTTCGCTTTCAAGGAAAAAATCACGGATTGCTGCTCCAAAATGTTGCAGATAGCAGGGAAAACGGACAGAACTGAAAATCCAAAAAAAACCCAAAACAAACAAACACACAATTCCCATTTTAAAATAGCGGCAACCACCTGATTCAAATGTTTGTTTTGGCATTTTTTGTTTAATCAGTTGCGATTTTGTTGTTGACTGTCAGAATTTCGGCGACCACCTGTTGATCGCCGCCGCCGTATGTCTCATTCATTATTGCACCATTGTACAAGAAAAGGTGAACATTAATTATTGATCAATGTGACTTTTATTCAAAAGATCCTGGCAGTGCCCGTAAAAGGTTGATTGTTGAATGAACAGTGTGAACAGCATTCCAACAGATAGCGGCAGAGTTGAAAAAACAACGCGTTCTATATCCATTTTGTGTTCAACACGTGGTGCGTAGCCCATTGTGCCATGACACGGTTGTGGCATGTGCTGCTGAAAGGTTCATTGAATTTTGTGGTTACGCATTTTTGTGATCATTCAAACGGCCCCAACTTTGACTGTTTTCAAGCAACACGACATGCTGAATAGTTGTTTTTTTGCAGGCATTGTCCTTTGGTCATTGGTGGCTGAATTGGCTTACCTGAGTCCACCGTGGAGGCCCTTGTCTCAGCCACGTTTTTGGGCAAATGTCATTGAACAAAAATATGGATACTAGTATGGGTCAGGATTGGGTGCCCCAACCCCCCTAATTACCAGTTTATCATTATTTTCCCAATTAGAAAATCCATAAAGTGGATTTTCAATACCAATTTTTTGGAGAAATCCACCATGGAGAGAGATATGGATGGGTCCCAATTGGGACACCTGGGACACCTATCAAAAAATATTACAAAGTTGGATGATGTGTACCCCAAGTTACCAAATATGACCGGCCCAACTTTGGGACGCCCAGGCTACACCGCATGGGTTTGCGTGCCACCTCTGAAGAGGAAACCTTGTCGTACCAAGATGAGGACCAGCAGCCGCTGCAGCCATGGGATTCATTGTTTTGGGTGAATGGATGTAACATGATGTAACATGATGTAATTGTATCCCAAGGTTTGGGTGTGCTCACATCCCCTTAGGACTCTTTGTTTCTATATATATATATAATTATATATATATATATATATTTTGCACATTTTGCGGCTGTTTTGAAAAGTTTCATCATCGTTGATCGCAGAAACATGCAGGAACACCTGCCATTTTTTTGTCACATTTCGCAGCTGGGGTTGTGCAGGACTATTGGGAACGCCGTTATAAAACTGGAGACAAAGGCACAAACAAATTGTTATGTCATGCCGACAATTGGGCCAAACAGCAAGATGGGATGCCAAAGTGCGTGTGTAAACAGACGTCCACAAGGAGTGCCAGACTGAAAATGACCAGAGACAAACACTGCTATTTGGGATCCTATTCAGTTTTGGAATTGGCCGATGGACCTTGAACTTTCAGAGAATCCTAAGCTGAGCCCTGAACAAGCGAGAAGTCAATCCCAAATGGGGTGCCAAAAAACATCTTCTTGCATCCCAAAAACGCGGCATGGAAATTCAATCAACAACCGAAATTTCAATCACATACTGTTGTTTTTCTTTAGGTTTGCCGCAAAACTTACAAGAAATATCAAGAAATCGAATGCAAATTGGACCACCCTTGGTACTATCTCTCTTCCTCTCTCTAAAAGGTGCCAATCCTGATCGAATCGATGATCGCGGTGTGGGATGGCTTTGTGGCTACAAGGGACCTTTGCAGGACAGCTGGCAAAGAGGTTTGCTCAGTGGTTGAAAATTTCAACCTATGACGGAAAAATATGGAAAAATGCATGAATTCCTTCCAAAAACAAACAAAAACAATATAGAATAAAATTCTTGAAACATTATATAATGCTACTCTGCAGTAGCAGTTGGATGAGTGTCCAGTCGTCTGTGATGTTCCTGATCTCTAGATCTCTTGAAGGACGTCCATTTTTCAGTAGAGGCTCTTCGTTTGTTTATAATTGCTTGGTGTTTGAACTTGTCATTAGATTTTCTGCTCTTCATTTGGAAGACCACATCACCCAAACAGAATAACTAGAATGATGATTCCCGTGGCGGCAAACCAACTTCCGCAGGAAACACTGGTAGCCATCACTGGTGGCGATCGGAGCAAGGTCATTCTCAACATAGGACGGAGGCTTAGCTTGGAGCTCTCCCATAGCTGCTATATGGTCAGGTTCAGAGTGCATTTGTTTCTTCAAAATGCCGCATAAATTCATCTTCAGAATCTTCATTTGCCTCTTAAACGCGTTAAACGCATGATCTTCACATCTTGACCCATCTTGACCCATCTTGACCCATCTTTAAGAGTTTCACTTTGTGCGAAAATGGATATCCGGATATCCACTGGGTCGGAAAAACAGGGGCAACATGGGGCAACCGATAGGTATCGTTCACAACCAATAGGTAAATGACTTTGCTTAGAGGCTTAGATCATCCAAATCCAATTTTTGTTGTTTGTAATCCAATATTTGCAAACTGGTAGAAATTCAAGTTTGACCAATTCATTGCTGACAGAAAAATGACTACATAATGTCTTAAGAACTACTTGTTTAAATAAATCTATATAATATATATTTATATCATTATATATATATATGTCCATATTTATATTTATATTGATATTTATTTATTGAAGAGTTTGAAATCCCAGTTTTTCGGGTCTGAGGCTGTGGCCTCGATCGTCTGAGCCCTGACATCTATGCGGATGGCTACACAAATCTTCTGAGCTCCGACATCTCAGCGTGCGGTGCCCTTTTTGGGGCAACAAGGTACATGTTGACATGGATGACTATGGATAATCTATGGTTAATCTATGGTTAATCTATGTTAATCTATATATTAATTGACTATGGATGACTATGGATGATTGATATGATTTGAATGTTGCCATGTGAACAAAATGTCCTTAAGTGGATGATTTGGATGTACATGATATGATATGGATGATTCGGATGACATGGACAGTGATTTAGATGACTATCACCGGTCGTAACTTTAGGTGTGAGCAGAAACATCCTGAAGTAGATGTTAATCATCATAGGATTCTTGGTCTGAATTTCGAGGTTTAGCTGACTTTAGACATGACTTGGGGATGGTCTAACGTAATATGGCTATATAATGCTATATCAACCTTAATTCTTAATGGAACTTTTATACAAGAGGTACTATGACAGTACCAAAAGTTTGTGCTTGAATCCCAGCATAGAAGCTGCTTTGCGCCCTGTGATCTGATCATGTTCTTTTATTTTTCATTGATGCTGTTGACATGCGGATGTGCCGTGGGAACCGACTAAGGCATGCGATTGCTGAGATGCAGACATCGACCGCAGATGACATGCCACTGGCAAAGTGGTGCATTGGATGCATAAATTCTAGCACATTTTGATGGTGGAAATTGGTCAAAACCAGATCAGCAATCTGATTTTCACACCAAATAGCTGGTAGCTATGAATGTTATACGTTTTTTGGAAAAGTGTTGATTCATCCCCACGTTTGTGTGTGTGTGTGCGTTCTGCAGTTGAAGCAGTTGAAGGTGAAACTTCTGGTAGCAGAGGTTGCCAAGTCTGTTTTGTTCTTTCCATCCAGGCTGGTGGACGACGTGATGCAGATGAACGTCCCATCTGAATCTGTGGACATCGTAGTAGATAAGGCCCTGAATGCAAACCATTGCAATGTAACCTCTTGTGATTGCTGTGCCCAACCTTTGGGACCAAAAGGGAAGGCCACAACTCTCATTCGCCGGATCTTACTTTGCACTCAAGTATTCTAGGACTTCTTTGAACTGTGTTTCCTCTCTATACAGCTCATGCGGGCCTCATGAGCCTCCATGAAAATTGAGCCACACCCTGCACAAGCCAGCAACATACATAGGTGGATTATGGTCGATTTGTTTTTTTTTGTTCAGAAATTTTGTCTCTTGAAACTCCGACAGGGCACTTTGGACGCACTGCTCATCCGTCCTCAGCCCTTCAGCTGTGCAGCAAAAGCACTACGTGAGATCCAGCGGGTGCTGAAGGTTCTACCCTCATCTGAAGGGTTGGTTCTCAAGCAGTACTTTCCTTTTGTCACAAATCACACAAAAGAAGCAAAGGTCCAAAAAGGGGCTGAAGTCCTTCTGATTGAGAAGACTTTCTCTCCAGATTTTATGATGTTTCTTGGTTATATTGCAAGCCTGTCCTTGCAGTGCCTTGTTTGATTTCAGGTGGGTGGCATTTACTTGATGATCACGCATGGGCGAGGACCACATGCTGCATATTTTTTGATTCAGTCAAAAACTGAGCTGTCTCCTGCCCCCGTTTTGCTTGTGACTCTCAACTGTTGCAATGGTTGAGACTGAGACATTGTTACATATTGTCTATTGTTATATATTGTTATCATGTGTTGAGGATCCCCCCAAACACTAATCCTGGGCAGCGAAGATAAATAACGGGGCCCGTCTCAAAATGTGATTCGTGCCATGCAGGTGACCCAGACACGTGGCGACTGCCGTTACTTGCCATGCCGCATTTGTCGTTCAACATTGCAAAGACGCCGGACATGGGCGGATACTTCATTTTTGCACCTTGACTTTGAATCTGCAACCAACTGCTGCACCTCAAACGGGAACAAACATGGAGGATTTACTGAATGGTTGTTGATAGCCCAGTGTGGTTGCCCCGCGGGGCCGCTAAGTGATTTCTGCCGCTTGCCCCGCTTGCCCCGCTTGCCCCGCTTGCTCCGCTTCTAGGGAAAATAAGTTAATCTTCCTCCTTGCCCCGCTTGCCCCACTTGCCCCGCTTGCCCTACTTGCAAACCGAGGGAAGATCGGTGGTTCTTCCTGCTTGCCCCGCTTGCCCCGCTTGCCCGCAATGTGAGGTTTGCACAAAGCTTCCTTGGGGCAGCGGTTCCCCGGAAGAAGCCTGGAGTCAAGCAGAAGAATGGGCCCAGCAGCGGGATCAGGAGGACCAAGAGGCTACAAATGGGAATGGAATCAGCCTTAGGCACCAGCACCAAAGACACCTAGCACATTTTCGGGTGCCCACTGGGCCCTATATCACCCTATATCCAAAGAAACCATGTATAGCAGTTGGATGGAGTTGGACTTTGATGAAGTTTCGATTGAATTCTTGTAGCACTCCTGGACGGCCAGAATTTTGTCTTTGGAGCCTGCAGGCAGAGTTTGCGGCGATCGATGATGTTGGTCAATGAACCCGCTTGGGCGCCAAAGTGCCCCATGGATTAGTCCCAATTTTAGTGAAAAGTGCGTGTGATCACATCAACCAAGGCAAGACGTGGGTATGTCTTGCCTGGATATCTCAAATCCCTTGGTTTATCACAAACCCACAATCATGTAGTCTACTGTGCTTAGAATCATGATCCCCACACACAGGAACAAGTCAATGCATCATGCCAAGCCAAAGTACCACTCTGAATTTCTGGCTCGATGTAGTGCTAGTGCACCAGATGACAGAGGCAAGGGACACCTCTGTCATTGGCCCCTTTGGATCACTTAATTTATTCATTACAGCCAGCTTCATGTTGTCAACAGCGACATCGATTTTTTTCTACAAAAACGCTGCGACGTCAATGTTTGCTTTGACTGTCTGATTTGACCTTCTTGGCTGGTGCATTAGTTACCCCTTTTGGGGTCTTGTGTTTTCCTTTGGTGCACTCGAGCTGGGCGCGTGTAGCCTGGGCCCAAGGGTCAAAACAGTGGTTTCATGTGCAAAGTGGAGGTCTTACGGTCCAAGCATGTCCAAACTATTGGCACCTTGTTGAATCCACAAGATTTGATCCCGAACAGTCATGACGCGGGTCATGACGCGGGTCTCATTTTTTGTAAAATGATTTTCCCCGAGGTGCGATGCCGTCAAGGTGGGGCACACTGGGTTCTCATGGGTCACATGAGACATACTGAGACATTGCGTCGGCGATACTGAAAGGACGCAACAGTTCAAGAAACCAGAATGTCAAGATGATTCAAGATGCAGCCCTCAGCTTCAGAAATATTAGGCCCATGAAGGAGAACGACTCAAGCAGGGGCCCTGGGGATCTGATCTCTGCAAACTGAAACACGCAAGCGTCAATTGCATGACGAGTTTGCGTTAAAACATGTTAAAATTGATTCTGCAGAGTCTGCAAGTAGCCAGTAAAAGAACAAGGCTGAATTTTTGCCTTGCATTCTTAGACCCAAGTCAAACTGGTGCTGCCATTTCGACTTTGTGATACATACCGATCCATTCAAAATTGACATTTGCTTCGAGGCTCGCTGCCTGTCTGGCAGTTCTCCGTGTTATTTGAGGCGCTGTGATTCCACACTCCGATGACTCGCCGTGACTCGCCGATTTGTGTCACTCGCCTCTGACAGGGAGCTTCAACGGAGAGGGATCCATTGACGCCGCTCAGCTCCAGATGGGGAGACGGACAGTGCTCGGCCTGGGCGCAGCGCGGAGCGCTGGTTTTTGTTTCGGTAGGCCTGGTGACGGAGGCACAAAACTGGCCGGTCCAGTTTTGAAAGCTTAGGCTGTGCACTTACGTGGCCCTCTTCCAGTTCAAGGTACCTTTTTTTCTGTGTCAAAAGTGTGCAAGAGACACAGTGAGTTCATACACCTGAGAAAAGCGTTTCCAGATGTTTCCAGTAGATATTGCCACCAGACGCGAGCCAGGTGTTTGTGCGGACGTAATGTCTAGAGTCCAAGCTTAGATTTTGCGTGAAATCCATGCATCAGTGCGTTTGAAAAAGACATTTGTGCCATTACACACAAAATTCAGAGACAGCAAAGGGCATTATGTTTCTGAGGCAATGTTTCCTGAAAAGGCAGCCGAATATTTAGCCACAGTACAGTGGAAACAACCTGAACCCATTGACGAACCTGACCCCCAACCTCTTTCAAACACGGGACAAGCAATAAAGGCATCACAATTCGAGGCCCAGGAACTTGACGAAGCTATTTCTGCGACGAAGACAAATAAGGCTCCAGGACCAGACCGAGTGCAAGCCGAACTTGTCAAATACCTAGACAGCTCAAACCGGGCAATTCTCTTACAATCCTACAATGAGATACTACTTATTAACAACAAATATTTTGATTCCCTTAGCCTTGCGAACATTGCTTCGATTTTTAAGAAAGGAGATCCCTCTAAACTTGAAAATTATAGACCCATTGCTTTGCTGCAGACCTTTTACAAATTGCTGGCTGCTATGATCAAACGGAGACTTGTCGTGGTTTTAGAACCTTGGATTCATAAAACACAGTACGGGTTTAGGCCACGCAAATCAACATCTCAGGCTATATTTTTGACGCGTAGATTAATGGATTTGGCCGAACGTCAAGGCACGAACATGTCTTTAGTTCTATTAGACTGGGAGAAAGCCTTCGACAAGATTGATCAGAAAAAACTCATACAGGTTCTACAGCGGCTTTCTGTTCCACAAAATATAATTCAAGTTGTTCAAAATATTTATAGAGAAGCTAAATTTAGAGTAACGAAGGGAGAACATTTTTCAAGTTTCAGAACACAAGATTCAGGGATTCGACAGGGTTGTCCTTTATCACCCTACCTGTTCAGTATCATAATGACGGCAATTTTCCAAGACATTCGGGTCACACTAAACACTCCGAAACAACAAGAACCAATCAAGGGTATACAATTCGCTGAGGTGCTTTATGCTGACGATACTTTACTCTTCAGCACCCATACGCACACCATCAATAAACTCTTGCACGCTGTCCAACAGGAATCAGGGAAATACAACATGAAATTGAACATGGGTAAATGTGTTAACCTGACTCTAAACCGTCACCAATCATCGATTAAGTTTCTGGATGGAACACCGGTCCCAAGGAAATCCCACGCAAGTTATCTTGGAGCCACCTTGACAGATTCAGTAGACAATCACAAGGAAATAATGCAGAGACTCGGTGCAGTTAACGCCGCGGCTTTACAACTACAACCTCTCTGGTCACAAACTCGTACAACAGTAAAATGGAGACTACGGGTATTTGAGGCTGCTTTGAGCACTAAGCTCCTTTATGGGTTGGAAACGATACAGCTTACAAGATCTGAACAAAACACATTAGATGCTTTTCAGATGAAGATGCTACGACGAATTCTACGGGTACCAAGCACTTACATTGACAGAGAATGGACTAATCAACGTGTAATCGACACACTTACTCAACGTTTTGGGTACAAACATGTTGGTTTATCAACCAGATGGAAGCAGAATAAAATCCGTTTGCTTGGACACATTTTTCGCTCATCCCCACAAGACCCCATGAGAGAAGTCCTCTTTGAAACAGGAACTTTCTTTCCTAGGATAGAACACACCAGACGTGTAGGCAAACCACGGGCTCACTGGCTGTTAGAAACTTGTCAAGATGCATACGCACTAATTGATCCAACTGTAGTTGTGGACATGGCTAATCAGCAACACATGTTGAATCTGGCGACTGTCGCACAAAGAAGGTTACCCCCTTTCCACACACGCAAGAACACATAAATGTTGCAACTGACCGAATCCCTCACCGAATATGTCACCGAATAGGGTTACAAAACCCTCTGACTTCATATCAGTATTGGAAACCCTGTCCGACCGCTGGCGCTGGCAGTTCACTTTCAAGTCTTTTGTCGATATCAGACATCCAATATGTCTGTGTCGAAGCCTAATTTTAGTCTCTGTGATGACCTTCACAGAGCCTTGGGCTCAAATTTTTCCCTCTTTCGATATGGGCGCAAGCCGTCTTAGCTGGGCAACGCTCAGCTCGAACACGAGCAGCGTGTGGAATGAATGAATGAGTGCATGATAGAGAGCCGAGTCGAGGGAACATAAATGACCCCGCGAAACCGTGCGCATTGTTTTTGCAGAGGTTCTCACTGTGAATCGCGAATTCCTTACCTTGATGTAAAGTGGTGCCAAAATTGAAGTTCAAAAATTGCGATCTACCACAGTGGCAGCTTTTTTTCAGCATCTTTTTCAGCTGCATGGCAAAGGAGGATGCGCTTCAATTTCTCGACGTTTCTTTTTTGCGAATTGGCATGGAGGTTGAATTATCTAGAATCTAGAAGATATGTGAGGAACTTACTAGGATAGGGAAGAGAGCAGTGGGAACAAGACCGTAGCTAGAAGTTATGTGAGCAACTGAGTAGCGCAGCATCAAGACAGTAGTTGAAATTATGGGAGGAAGACAGTAGCGTAGCAGGAAGAGCGTACTTTGCAAGATGAGGTTGGAAGGTATGTCAGGAAGTTAGTACCGTATGAGAAGTGTCAGGAATTGAGTGGCGCAGGAGAGAGTAGTTGGAAGTTGTGTGAGGAACCTAGTCACATAGCATTATATATATAATATTATATTAATATGCGTAGGCACAATTTATCTCTAGGGAGTTCGTAGCAGGAAAACGTAGTTGGAAGGTGTCGCCAAGGAATGTCAGTAACCCACCCCGCTGCACCCCACCCCTTCTTTTAGGTCCGGAGGAATAATTGAGTTTGAACCAACTTCTTCCACTTGGATGTGACCAGGTGATCTGCCACCAGCGTGTGTACAAGCCTAACGACCGTTGCAACTGCACTGAGTGCTCCACCTGTTTTGTCCGGAAACTTGTCACAAAGCAGTGGGTTATTTTTGGACACAGCAGTTTGGAGATGATTCATCTGCTTTCTGCACTTTTCGGGGGAAGCGGACAGCTGACCCCGAGGTCCGTGGTTTGTACTTCCAAGAATAAGATACTGTCAGTGTAATTTCAAAGGTGCAAATACATGCAATATGACTGGATGGGTCAATCCAGCCATGTCAGCTATGCTGGGTCAGCAAACCACAGTTTTCACAACCATATAACCATACCATACCCATACATCGCTTTCTTTTGCATTTTTTGATGATCGGCGGATCCCCATGAAACCCCATGAAACCCATTCAAACCCTGGCTCCCGTCAGGTACTCCTGGAGCATCAAACGCCGCTTCAGTGAGTTTCAGCAACTGGATGCCGGTCTTCGGTGGTCCTGGCACGTTGCACCGTGATTGGGATTGGCTGAGATGGATTGAGATGGGAGAATTGGTTGTCATGGATGTTCAGTTGGTCCAAATTGAATCCATCCCTCATATGGGTTGTGCACTGATCTCATACAGGACTGACTCTTAGTGCTCTTAGTGCTGGCCCAAGATTATGCCAGTCTTATTCTCTTATGGCGCGATATTGCTTCACCTGG